CCCCTATCTCATTACAGAGATCGGTAAGACAGGGAGACCCTATTGCCCCCTTTCTCTTTGTCATAGTTATGGAGGCCCTAGCAACTAACCTCATACAACATAAAGACATTAAAAGAATTCAAGTGTCATCTATTCCAAACGAAGTCATTCCTGTTTACTCTCTCTTTGCTGATGATCTGTCCCTGATGGTAGAAACATCAAAGGAGAATTTAGAAGCAATAAGCAGGCTAATGAATATATTTTGTAGGTTGTCTGATATGAGGGTTAATTGGGGTAACAAGACGATGGGTTGGTGGATTCATCATCAAGGAGTAAAACCCCTTGAATTTCCTCAAGTAAAATGACTTACCTTGGATACCCCCATTAGAGTATTAGGAATTTTCCTATCAGCAGCAGGAAAACCATCAATCAACAATGAAACAAGCATACGCTAAGTTGGAACTTTGGAAGGGTAAACAAATTTCTCTCTTTGGACGTACTTTGGTGATTAACAATGTGGTCTTAGCCTCGATCTGGTATAAATCAGCAATATGGGCCCTGGATAAGAAAGTGTTAAAGGCTCTGCAACGACAACTATCAGTCTTTTTGTGGAGAGGGAATCACGAGTTTGATAAGGTAATTAGCAGAGTTGCGTGACAATCGGTGATACAACCTAAGACTAGAGGAGGATTGGGTATCATAGATCCTTTTTTACAAGCTATGGCCTTATCAGTTCAATGGATTAAACGTCTATTGTTTAATCCCCAGACCCCCTGGAGTGTGTTGGCATGGGAACAGATTAGACGTCCAGCCCCGATAATACCTGACAACATAGATCATATGATGTGGCTAGAAAATAAATTGTGGCCTGTACCAAAAGGAACATTGAATGAATCACTGGACCAATGTGTATCAGATAGGAGGGCGGCAAGAATGGACTTACATAATGATGCATTTTGGCCTAACCTCATCAAAACATGGGGGAGATTGCCACTAACGGATCGAAACCCTCCTGAAATATGGGAGGAAGTAAGTCAACAGCCACTCTTTGATAATAGTCTGCTCAAAGATCCCCAGGGATGTGTCCTTCACTGTATGGATTCCCCCAGGAAGGGATGGGTTAAAAATGGTATTGTTAGGATAAAGTACATCTGGGACAGTGATAAAGGAGAGTGAATTACCCTTTCACAATTACAAACCCATCTTAGATATTGTCATCATTCTGAGAAAGCCTTAGATAATATAATTGATTGGATACCCTTGGATTGGGTAAGGATTCTAAGAAAGGGACCTCAGTTATTGGGAAGTGATTGGGTGGCTATAAAAGATCATCCAAATGTATTAGGCAATATTGTTGTAGTGTTGGAAACAGGGGAGGTCCTCGTCACTACATATGAACTGGACAGTAATCTCAATGTCATAATCAACGATCAGAACAATATAAGTAGGGTGACAAAAAATCAGATATTCAGGGTCAGAGTAATGAGGCACAAAGATAAATGGATAGCCTTTAAACCTAATACACCCGTAAGTCATCTCGCCCTAGACCCGGTTAATTGGATATGGTCCAATACAAGAAGAAAATGAACTAAGGACTCTTGTGCTTTCCACATGTTGTCAGTGAAATCCACTTACAGGATGCTTCGCCCCAGAATTATCTTAAAGGATAAAGTTGAGGAAAGATAGACGAAACATCTTAATGTTAATAAAGAATCATTAAGAAAGGTAAAATGATTTAGTAAGACAAAAATTAAGCCTGCAAAAGTGGCTTCACTACAATGACAAATAGAGCATAGGTGCCTCCCTACAAGTAATTGGCTTATAGACAGGACAACATTGGAACAAAGGGGAATAACGTTTCCCTGGTGTAAATTTTGGAGGTCTGCGTTTCCATCCAAATTAATTCATGAGACTATCGAGCATGTCTTCTTTCAATGTCCTGGGGCCATTTGGCTTTGGAGGTGGTGGGACCGCATATGGTCTAATCTCGAAACACAAATCCAGTGGCCATGAGACTGGAGAACCCTTCTTCTTGAAACCTGGTCCCCTGAGTCTATTGATGAACTCTCACAAAATTTGTTCAACATGGGCAGAAGAGCGGTATTATGGGCCATACGGTTAAAAGCTTCAAGATGTACATATGAAATGGAGGGAGTACGGCGTGACGGACCAGAATTCAACAACAAATACAAACAGACATCATTATGAAATGAGAGCAGTGCAAGGAAAAAGTACAGTTCTTATCTTAGCATAAAGAAATACTTCAACACATTCAACGATTCAACGAATGCTGGTTAGGAGGAACCCATGGGGGAAAGATAGGGAAGGTTAAATCGGAAGAGGCAAAGAGAGGTGAAGAAGAAAATATGAGTTGGGATTATTGTCTTGCTTTTAATGATTGGACTATGAAAGGGCTGAGTATATAATTCCCTTACGGGTAGTATCGGATTTTCCAGACCCCTCTCCCCCCTCAGCGCTGAGTATGATCTCAAGGGCTTCGTATGGGTATGAATGAATATGAGACTAGGCTTGTTCCTGTAAAGCAGGAAGGGTAGATAATGAGGGAATAGTGCTAGGGTGATGTTGTTTTGATATGGCGCCCCTATGGGGTGAAGAGGCACATTTCTATTCGGTCACTCCGGGTAGACTGTGAGGACCCCGACCTCAATCTTCTTTTGGTAATATCAGCCTTGGGCATTGGGCCCCTCTTTAAAAAAAAAAAAAAGTAAAAAAAGGGTCCGGGCAATGGTTGCATACTGAAGGGGCGGTCGGCGCAGCGACGGTTGTCCAGGCAGGGAACCGTTCGGGGGAAGGCGTTTCGCCAATCAGTAATGGTGTACAGCGGGAGTTGTCGTTCCACGTATACCGCCATTGTCTTCATCAGCTTTTCGTCATCCTCATCGGATGTCGCGCGGTCGAATGTATGATACCAATCTTCACCGAAGTTTCTGGACTTGGCTGCACGCGATTGCGTACTCCAATCTCCACATCCGCATATTGTCCACGCGACCGTTGCTCCTTCTTCATGCCACTGTTATGCCTGTCCGTCGTGCCATCATTGTTGCTACCCCCCTCCGATTGTCGTCATCCACGAAGCAAGCAGTGTTGGCGGACGAACGTAGCAATTGTGGGCTACAATAGGCCTATGTGACACCCGCGGCCTAGGCCGCGGGCGTTTCGGCCGCTGCGGCCGAGAATCTCGGCTGCGGCCACGGCCGATGAGGCCCAATCCGCGGCCTGGTTTTTTGTTTTGGAGTCCGACTTTGTTTAGGATTTTTTAAAATCCAAAAACTAAATTCGATTTAAACAAAAAAATATATATATATATAAAGAAAAGCAGGATTTTTTTTTTCCATTTTTTATCATGAGATATATGGTCCCTGAGTTGACCAGTATTTTTTTTAGAAATGAATTTCTGTTTTTTGCAGGGAAATGAGGTGTTKAAAAAAAATGAAGATGCAAAATTTGAAAAAAAAAAAAAAAAAAAAGGTTTGATTGATTGATTGATTGATTGATCTGATTTGATTGATTGATTGATTAATTGATTAAGTGTGTGTGTGTGAGTGTGTGTGTGTGTGTGTGTGTGTGTGTGTGTGTGTGTGTGTGTGTGTGTGTGTGTGTGTGT